CACTTTTTTCTATGCTTAAGTGTTCAGAGAGGAACTTGAGGTTAGTATCTTGGCCAAGGATATTTGACATGCAGGCTGGAACAGCCAGGGCTAAAACCTGTAGATGACCTGCTGTACCACATCGCCTCATGCTACCAGTAGTGACACTGGCCTTAGTCAGATGAAAAACTGGTGGAAAAAACAGTCAGAAAAGATGTGGAGGGAAAAAATATCGGTAAAACCATTCCTGTTTTGAGGGTTGTCTCATTGTTGCCCTTCTAGTGCACCTCTTGTTAGTTTCATTAACACCAAAGCCAGATTAATATCCCACAACTTTATCTGACTGCATCTCTGCGTTTTCATCTGCAAAAACAGCATCTTGTAGTTTAATGATCGATAACTAATTGTTTCAAATAAAGTGTAAAATGTTAAATGACTGCACGTCTAGAAAAGTGTGACACAAATGCACTGATGTTAGACTTCAAAGCAAACTGGGCTGGGTCATGTTGGGTGTGAAAAGAAAATTGATAGATCACGCTAAACAGGATGTCACACTAAGAATTTATATATTCTAAAAGCTTTAAGTCGCTTCAATGTGTGAATTCTTTCTGCCGCTGCCAGTAGCTGATGATATTTACAACTCGCATGTCTTCGATTCATTTGAATTTTATTTTGTTGCTGCACAAGCCTTCATTTCGTCTGTTATTATGAGTTCCACGCAGGGTCTGAGCAGGATGCCACTAGCTACCATCCTCCATAAAGTAAACCCCAGATCTCAGTGACCAGCCAGGCCAGAGCTGATAGTCAGCATGCTGACTTACTGCTTCTGAGTCTGCACAGGAGAAAACACAGGCACAGATGCTGAGCACGACACACCCAGTCTGAAAAAGTAACAGAATCTTCCGTCTTCCATCCCCCTATTTTTATAAATATGTTATAAATTATGTTCAAATACATAATTTAAAAATGTAGATTATGTAAATTACTCCATATTGTGAGACTATTCAGTGCATGATGTTCTTAAAGCTGCTGGCCTACACACTTGGCATATTCCTTTGGCTTGGCTGCTGTACAGATAGAAGGCATCTCTACTGATTAAGTAATTAACAGACTAAAGAAGAAAATCAAAATCAAACAAGTAGGGAAACAAATGCAAGTTGAATAGTTGGAATATCATAAAAAATCACCTGATAAAGGTTAACCTGGTACAACATGGCGAGCTTCATCACCAACAAAACGCCAACTGATATCTTTTGGAAGATGTTGTCTACATCCACAGATCCATCTCTCCAATCGGTTGAGTGTGATTTTCAGGTTGTTGTGCAGTTCACTGTGGAGATGATTTCACATTAAAAAACTGTAGAACTAGCACCGCCTACTCTGCTTTTAAGCTGATTGGCTGTCTCTGGCAAACAGAAGGCTTAAACAGCAGGTGGGTGGGGCTTCTGTGCTTGAGATGACCATATTGAGTGTATCTGCTATCTAAGATATCACTCAGAATCAAGAGCAAACACAAATGTCAGCAGTGCTTAGTCTGTTGCAGTCTGACCTGGGCCTACTTAAGACACTGCTTGGAGTTATAGTAAATTCACCGTGCCAAATTTCTTAAGTGTTCCCGAGGTATCACTCAAACTTATCACTTTATTATTTATTACCTCATATATGCTCTGTCCAACTCTGCTTGGATAAGCAGCTGCTTGTTGTTTTTGTAACACTGCCAAAAGGGAAGTTGGTGAATAAACTATGCAAAGTCAACACTCATAACACGTTATCTTTCTTCAACTGCTGTAAATGCAGATACCAATAGATAGGCAAATAGTTCATGTCAAACAGTCAACATCGGCCAGGCTCTGCTCAAAACATCAGTGGGTGTGTTTTCCAGTGGAAGCCACTGCAACTTGCTCAGAGGAGATGAGGAGGGCAGGAAGTCAAAGTAAAGGACTAAAAGGTTCCTGAGGTGATTAAAGGACAGAGCGAAACTGCTTTGAGATGCAAAATCACAACATCACACACAAGGAATACTCACATACTGAACTCATTAATTGAAATGTTTGTAATACGAGCATCCAGAGTGTGTATAGAAGTGTTCGCTTACAAATATGTTTAAGAAAACAGGATGAAAAGAACTTCTTATGCAAAATTATTCATTTTATAATCACATAGATCGCATTACTTTACCAATCTTTGATAATATGAAATAATCAACAATAGATTTACTATATTTTTCTTCAAAATATAGTGGAGAAGAAGTAGAAAGTAGTATAACATAGAAATACTTCAAGAAGTATTATAAGACAATGTCAGAAAAATGTACATTTTCTTGTGTACTTTGTGTTGGCGTCTGCTAGAAAATGCAAAAAGGTTGCACTCGTACTTGCATGTACATATTCCATATGCATATGTGATCCAACCCACACACGTCCATATACTCATTTAGAGAACCACCTAATTCTTTCTCAAAGTCAACAGAGGTAAAGCAAAACCACTGAGGTAGAACCTGAAACCAGGAGGCTAAAGAATTTTCCATCATGGCCACCACAGGGTACGCCTTACCTCTAAACACATTTGCAAACTGTCCAGTTGCATCTTTAAATAAATGCCCTATTTAGGACAAACATTTTTGTTATGTAAAACAAGAGAACACTATAGATAAGCTGAACCTCTTATAACAGGATGAGATATACAAAATTGTCAGATGTACTTTTGGTCAATTAAGGTGGACAGCTCTTGGTGTATTCCACAGTAAGTTCAATAAAGACCTATGCTAAAAGGTGATCTACAGCAAGTTCAGATATGCTGACACTAAACATAGTGCAGTTTAAGCTTAATTACTGCTCACAGAAATGATGACCTTTTGATGGTGTTAGATAAAACATTAAGACACCATCGCGGTTATCCTGTTTTTTTTGTCCCTAAAGTCAAGCTGGTGATTTAAGCAGTTTAAAGTGACTTATTCTGTTCATTCTAACTCTGATTCTATTACAGTAGCTTTGAATGATTCATAGTTAAAAAAAGAAAATCCTTATTTATCTTACACTGGCCTTTTTTGCAGCCCCAAAGTACAGCTGGGGCTGTGAGCACTTCTACATACAGGGCTGTGCAAAAGTCTTGAGCTATATTTCATTTCTTTATATTTTGCAGAAAAATCAAAAGTTGGTGCCCCTATTTATTAAAATATGTGAAAACATATATGGAAGTACAATATATAAGGCAAAAAGACTGTTTGTACAACCACCTTTATTCTTCAGCATAGTCTAATCTGACATTTCTTTAAGTAGTCTTCAGGAATAGTTATCCAGGCTTCTTGAAGGACATCCCAACTCTTCTTTGGATGTTGGCTGCTTATCTTCTGTTGTCTATCAAAATAATCCCACATTGCTTCAATGTTGAGTCACAGACTCTGGGGAGACCAATCCACGACTGATCGTGTTCCACTCTGTGCTTTGCTATGTGCTTCTTTGTCAAATCTTTGTCTGACTTTTTCCTGTTTCTTAAGGACGCGACTTTCAGATACTGTTGATCTGCTGAATAGAGTATTTAAGCCTGCCATTTCTTCTTTTGTCCTCCACTTGTCCAGTTTCCTCACATTTTTCAAGGATACACTGCACACCATGCTAAGATATGTGGGGATCATCTTTTTTGTATCTTTGTATCTTTTCATATACTCAACCAAAGAAATGGGAAGGAGTTATGTGTTTTTGTGACATGTTGTCACCAGAAAAGTTCCTAAAAAACAATTGAAAATGCTTCTTTTGCTGATTGAGATAGATGCTTTTTCTATTTTTAGCTTGCTTAACAAGTGGGGGAAAAAAGAATTGGTAGCCATATCTACATATGTGTCTAAATTTAAAATTCATGCTTTACTTGAAGTTGTTCCTTTTACATATCGCCTGTTTAGTAATCAGGCCACACTTTCCAATTTCACCTGCGAGGTACTTTTGCTGACTTTTTGAAGAGGAAGCAAATGTCCCGTGGGCTATGCCACTTTTGCACAGCAGTGACTTGCGGTTGTGGACTGTGCCATTGCATGTAAGAATGGGGGGTGACACAGCGGTTTCATCAGTCCTGTCAGTTTTTCTGTAGCTGCACTTCAACTTCCTCATTTGCTCGTCAGTGCTGTTTCCTCTTTCGCATACTGATATGATTCTTGTTCAGCAGACAACTTCTTATAGGTCTGCTCTTTTAATCTCCAGAAGAATACAAACAACACAAAACTTTGCTTTACAAAGTAATAGGTGTGCGCTCTGTCGCTGGGTTTGAATAGTCTTCGTTTTTTCAAAGACCGCATGAACATTGAGCCGTACGTGAAGCTTGTGCAACACTGGTGAGTACAGAGGCATCGCAGCAGAATTTAAGCCATTTACTGACACATGAAAGCTCTTTAAGTCTAACAACACGGTGATCTCTTACATGTCCCCAGCTTCAATGTGCCCCTACCTGTTTTCTGTGTGAGGGAGAAAGAAGCAGCAGACTGAAAACTTGGACAGTCATGGATGTCTAAGTGCAGTAGCTGTTTGTGTGTTTGTGTGTGTGTCGAGTGAGTGGGTGATGTCGGGAGACACCAGCACCCTTTCCTGGAGGAGCATGTCTCTGACCAGCCAGTCAGATTCCTCGGACCTGTCTCCAACAGCGGGTGTCCACAGGGATGTCCTCTCCCAGGTGAAGATCATCAAAGTGTGTTTCCTCAGCAACAGCCCCAACCTGGGCAAGAACTTCAAACTCATCCGCTGTGAGGAGGGATGGACTGTCAAGGTAGACCTTTTTTTACTCTTACTTCAAACTCTACTCTAAAACTATAAAAGCTTTGCTCTGCTGTGCTTATCAGATAGACTGAAATGCTTTAATAATGTTCTGCCGCCCTGCTTTCAGCTACTCTTCTCTAACTTTTCCTGACTTTATTGGCATCACTGCACTCAGATGTATTCTTCATACCTTCTTCTAGGACAACAAGGAAGTCTTGGATTTCTGATAACAGGATGCACACACTGATAAACAAGCCTTGCGCTGGCATTTAGCCTTCGCTTGAGTTCTCTAAACTTACATCAGAATGGAATTTATTCGCATGACGCAGCACGTGTTGTAAAGTTGATTCCAAGCTTGTACTGGAAAGCTAAAATTCAATGTGCTTCTCTAATTATTTCAATCCCAGAATCTGATCAGCACGGTGCTGTCCAGCGGCTGCGTTGGTCCAGAGATAAAATACACTCAATGCTACGGCCTCCTTCTTAAACACCTCAAATCCTCAGAGATACACTGGCTGCACCCTGATCTCACTGTGGCTGAGCTCACCCACCGCTACGAGCAGCAGCACTTAGAAGCTGAGTGGAGGTTGGTAAACCTGTCACATCGCTGAATATTTTGTTTTGACTGGTTTTGACTGGTTTTGACTGGGCGGTACACTCAAAAACACAAAAAAAACATTCTTCGGCAAACATGAAACAATATTTTTGAGTAAAATGCAGCTGAAATGTATAAAATCAAAGCTTTATTTATTCATATGACTAATCATTAAAGAAATGTGCTTGGTATGTACAATCTTAAAATACACTAAAGATACTTTTTTTAGCCTTTTTTGGATAGGGACAGCTTAGAGAGACAGGAAAGTGGGGCGAGAGAGAGGGGAAGACGAGTGGCAAAAGTCCACAGGTCAGACTTGAAGGCAGGCCTCTCCAGCCATACGGCATTTGGTCGCCTGTGCACCCACTGAGCTAAGCATCCCACACTGAAAATATTCAAATAAAGTGTACTCTATCTATCTAAATCTAACAAAAGTATCGATACTAAGCCAGGAAACTAATATCTCACAAATAACTAGCAGACATTATTGCTATTTGTGATATCTCAAAAATAATATAAAGTTTATGACCATGAACTGTGATCTTTATTTGTTCAGATATGACTTGAGGATCAGATACATCCCATCAGACTTTATGGAAAAATTCCAAGATGACAGAACCACCATGCTCTACTTTTACCAGCAGGTCAGTAAAATTGTCAGTGTTTTTTGCACCTTCATCTTTGCAGTTTAATTTAGGTTTCCACGTTCACCCTCAGGTACGAAGTGATTATATGCAGCAGTATGCCTCAAAAGTAAGCGATGGAATGGCTCTACAGCTTGGCTGTCTGGAAATCAGGTAACATCTCATGGACAAAAGAAAAACTGGGCAATAATTGTGCATGCTTTCATGGAAAACTGATGGATGATACTGTTACTACTTACAGGAGGTTCTGCAAAGACATGAATCCAAACGGATTGGAGAAAAAGTCAAACTTTGAATTTCTGGAGTAAGTTTAGCATGCATAACCTTCCTACTTCTCATGCTACTGCCTGTTTACCTTTTACCTCAGGCCTTTCGTGCCTTTGTGGTATATGCGTTTGTACCACTTTATTGTTTTTGTTAGTTGTTTTTTTTTAATAGGCCTGCGCCACCTATATAACCAGCATTTCTCAGAAATAGAAGGGCTTTCTATTTCTTCTATTTCTGAGAATTGATATGTGGATATGTGGTGAAAGGTGGATGAAAAGGAAGAGTAAAAATGACCAGATGCAGTCTCCGGTTAACACAAAAAGCTACATAAAGTGCATATTTCTAAAAGTGAAAGTTTCACATTACATATTGTTCTAAACTAGAGAGATGTGGGGTTGCATCAAGTTTTTGTTTCATTATAGCTGTCTGGCTTCCCTTTATTCCTCCATTAGGAAGGAGATAGGACTCGACCTCTTCTTCCCCAAAGAGCTCATTGACAGCATGAAGGTATGGAGCCAGAACATTTCGATACTATTTCTGCCTAAAGTTACAGGATGAAATAAAATGTGCCTGATTGTCGCCGTCTGCATCTGTGTGTCAGCCCAAGCAGCTGCGTCGCATGATCCAGCAGACGTTTCAGGGCTACTCGACTCTGAATCAGGACCAGTGCATGGCGAAGTTCTTCACCACTCTGTCTCAGTGCTGGTGCTTTACGCAGGAAAGCTTCGCCTGCCAACTAGTGGTGGGTATTTGATGTGTGCACTGGTTGTCACGTCACACTGAATAAAACAAGTGGTTACTGAATTCTAACAGTAAAAACTTGTTTTGTTTGAAGATAAAACGCAGTGCAGTGCTTTATATATTTATGTTTTTCATTTCTTTCTTTGTTCACAAAAATGGGATCTCTTCTCTTCTCAGAGAGGTTTCAAAATTATTAATGTGTGTGTTTTGTGTCTCTGTAGCAAGGCTGGAGCTTAACGATAGACTTAGTTATTGACCCTGATGGGATTAGTCAGCACACTGAGAACTCAACGGTGAGTTTGAACTTTCTCTTACTTCTATTCATTTTTGTTTGATCTCTTAAAACAAATCTGTCATGGTGTGTGTGTGTCTCTCTCTCTATATATATATATATTGTCTAAATCTTTTAAATCTTTTCAGCCCATCTGTTTGGCCAAGTTCTCTCAGGTCCGCAGCATCTCCTGTACTGCAGAGAGTGATGGGCGAGCTCTGCTCAAAGCGCACATTGAGGGAGCCAAACAGGTAGCACTGAACTTCCTGATTTGTTTAACTGCTGTATTTTGTTTCATTTCTACCCTTTTCATCAGTTCCCTGGAGGCGTGAAATCGTCAAAGACTTCCAGGGAAGTAATGAAAAAGAACTGATGAAATTTTGAAGTACAGTAGGTATCATTGTCCCCATCACCGAGGGAGAGTGATAGGGTTTATGATCTGGATTTTATTTATTTTTATCACACTGCTTTTACAAACAGTAGTTGTGTTGTAGAAGTTGCATTGACTATATCTTAATGCACCCAGTGTTTTTTAGTTCTTAGTGCAGATTAAATGTCATGTATCTTCCACCCTCCAGCCGCTGTCAGTGAACACCTCCTCCCTGGCAGTAGCAGAAAACATGGCTGACCTGATTGATGGCTACTGCCGACTGGAAGGCGCTGAACGTTCACTTATTGTCAGCCCCAACAAAGGTAAAAGTAATGTCCATCCATGGAAAAAGCAAGGGTCTTGAGATTAAAAAATGTCTTTTACAAGCGTGTGCTGGCCAGAAAAAGAGCTGTATAATGGAGTTGCATAAACTGGTATCACATGCATACTGGAGATTTTACAATATATTCATGCAGAGTGTGATTTTGAGAAACTTTATGGTGTCATTGTAACGTTGTAGAGCGTGATATTGAAAAATAAAATGTGAGTTGTACAGCTCCATGCCCTCTCATATAACATATTATGTCTTTAAAGGTCAACTTTGACCTTGGGCACTAACAATGAAGATCGAGGTCAAACACTTACCCAACTTACATACTCATCCCCCCAAGGCCTAATATATTGTTGTAAAGTTTGAAGACAATCTATAAGAAGCTGTGTGTAACATAAACTTCTGAATGAGTTTCACAATTGGTGTGACTTTGCCCCCGTTTTGACCAAAATTAAATCAGCTCAGGCTGTTTATGCTATCTACCATCACACAAAATTTGAACATGATATCTTGAAAACTGTGGATGCTAGATTTCTAACAAAAAGACAGACAAACAAACCAGCAGAACCAGTTACATAGTCCAACTGTAAACCAATTGCAGGATGAATGACTTGAATGCAGGCTGCATTCAAGTCATTTAAATCACCTAAAATAAATTAAGAAAGACTATTTCCTAAGTTTTGGTTGATTCTGCAGCTCATTCCAGGGGGAAGGAATGCCTATCCACCCATCTTCTTAACCACTTATCTAGCTAAGAGTTGTGGGAGGGCTCAAGTACGTCCAAGCTATCATAGATTGATAGGTCGGGTATAGTTTGGACAGAGTGCCAGTCTATTGCACTCTTTTTTTTCTTTTTCTTTTTTACATGATTTCCATGTAACCCACTCATCCTGCTTAATCCTGGCACTTACTTTTGGCCTCTTGGCTCTCACTTTCCATGAATTTGATATTACATTTGACATTAAAAAATAAAATTAAGCCATGTTTTTCCCACTTATTGCAGTAAGGTTTAGTATAACAGTGCAGGAAACTGTGGAAATAACCTTTAATTGTCTAATCCTACCACCTATGCCTTAACCAGATATCTGACTCTTACAGGGAGAGATACGCGAATGAAACTTCCTGACATCCCAAAATGGTGAGCGTGATGAGTCATATTGGAAAGTTGTGGGTTTTTTTTTAAATGTTATTAAAGGTGACACATTGTTTTCCCTTGGTGGGGATAATTTAGTAGAAGCATAACGTATGTGGGTGTAGTTTATTTTAAGATCTTCCTCCTCTGTGTTCATTTTTTCATATGTCTACCGCTCACAGCTGATATGTCACAGATGTTTGCTGAAACGTTCGCTTGTATACAAAATGTTACAGAAAGAAAGAAACAGTTTTCTCTCTTTTTCTTCCAGTGCTGGTTCCAGTGCTCCCAGTAAAGGTTGCAGTAAGTACTAATCCAGCCTCTAGAATTTTACTTTTAACTTTAAAAGCAATGTATGTATGTATACTAATAATGTGTTTTTCTTTT